ATCAATACTAATTAAATCATATGATTTCATATTAATATATTATAACTTATAATATATTAATAAATCATAAATATATTATTCTCAAAAGATTATCCATACAAATTGTTCTGGTGAAGTACAACCCAAATGGACCATGTTGGGTCGGGTCAAGTACATACCAAATATAGTTATGGACTTAGACACCTTATCCAACACTGTACGTGACGTAGCACCTTCGATCAGCAAGCTACTCCACACACAAGAATCCTCACATCACTACTTCTGCCCGAGCATCATGTTGCCTCTTATCCCCTTTTCGAATGAACCGAGACCTCCCTGGTCCCAACTTATCTGCCAACTATCTGGAATACCGGATTCCCAGCCGGTTGCTGAACCAAAGAACACTCTCTCAGTCGCTCCCAGCGACTTCCGAAGAAAACTTCGGCTATCGAACACTACCCTATCCACCTGCATTGCTATAGTCACACGGGCCTCGCCCACGGGTCTCACCCAAACCATACGACGGAGCAGCCTTGCCCACAGGTATCACCTAGAGCTACACAGGTCCAATGCCACCTCGAATCCCATTGACCTATCTTTTCCTGATTCCGATCACGCCGTGGCCTTTCCACAATCCTATAAACCGACCCACTCGGGCCTAACTTACCTGAATGAACCTGTGAATGCTACAGATTTTTCTGTAGTCTAACAACACTTCCCACACTATCTGACCACATGAGGAATGCTACGGCTGCCCCGCAGTCGTACAATACTTTCCCCCGCTATCTGGCTGCTAATGAATGCTACGACTATCCCGCAGTCTTACAGCACTTCCCACACTATATGGATGTTGGTGAATACTACGGCTATGCCGCAGTCTTACAGCACTTTCCACGCTGTCTCAACTATTGATTCCCAATCCGAACACTTCCAACCTCGAGCACACACACGATCTAACATCCTGACTGAACTCGCGTCCTGACAGGAATTCCCCAACCTGGTTCCCCAATACCAGCTATCAAACACCAAGAATATGCGAACCCAAGTTTGGGAAGTTTCCCAAACTCCCAATTCACACACTCCTCAATCCTAACAGCCACTTGGGCCGCCTTCCCCCTGATGAGAATGCAAACTCATCCTAATTTTGCATCTACTTTTGTTCCTGAATAACCGAATGATTCTCCCCCACTTTGATTCAACTAACATCTTACAGCACACACGACTGGAAGGATTCCCAATCCTTCTTACCATCCAATGATCAATCCGCTGGCAACCAACACTTATCACTGTTAGTGTTCCAAAAGTAACCAATACTAAAGCAGTACAACTCTTGAAGACTAACGGAACACTTTCCGACTTCCAATCACACTTGGTACAGCTACCGCGTCCTGGGAACCCACTATATAAGGAGACGATCTCAAACTACTATTCTAAGTTTCATGGTATGCAGATGGCATATAACCCAAACATAAGCCGAAAATATAACTCCAAGATACACTTACCCATACCGATGCAAGACAATAGCAATAAAATCATAAATAAAAACTGATAGGAAAGCAAAAGATACACACCTGCAACATTGGACGCCACCCGCGCCTCCTCTGTAGTCAGCTGGAAATCCCTGCTCCTCGCGGCAGGCGCCTCTGCCCGGCCCCGACGACCGTCGGTGATCCTCAATGTTGCATGGGCAGGTGCCAGCACCTGTCCCACTGTAGCCAAACCCGGGTGTTACAATCATCCAATAAGCTCTAAACCCAAACCCTAATTCCTTTAAGGAAGGTCTTGACCCATTAAGCCCTTAAACTCTCATTTCAACGTCCCAAAACACAGATCTGATGTCCAATGGTGGACATATCCCGTAAAGTTTCTATCTTTACGTCCATGCATACTTGTAACACTCTTTAGGGTCCATATTAGGCTTTCTAATGAACATATTGCATGAATGGGACATGGAGGCCATTAAAGTTCGCAACTTTAAGCTTCAAGATACCATGGAGGGGTCAGATCTAGCTTGACAACCCCTGGAATCTATTTCTTTTTGACAAATCAACCCAAGATCCCAAAATCATGCTTAAACTTCAAAAGATGAGATCTAATAAGCTACATGTCAAGGTTATGACTTTATACCTCAAAGATGCAGCCCTTGATGTAGAGTTTCTGGATCCAAGTTCACTCCTCCAAGCTTGACTCGTCTCTCTTCAAAACCTCCTTCAAAGATCTCAAACAATCACTCAATACTCACAAAACTCAATAAACAAGAGGGGGAGGTGATTCTAGGGTTTTCTTTGGGCAAGGAGGTTGGTAAGGAGGCCATCCCTAGAGGTTAAGTCCTTTAAATAGGGTACAATGCCCGAAAAATTAGGTTTTTCATCCCCATTGTCAACTCGTCGAGTTGAGGCTCCCCAACTCGTCGAGTTGAGGCTCCCCAACTCGTCGAGTTGGGTGCTTAATCTGCGCGTCCATATAGATTCCTACACGACGAGTTGGAGCTCCCCAACTCGTCGAGTTCCAGTCAAAACCCTAAAATGCCGAAAATTGAATAGTACCTGAACCAAGTGTTACAAGATTGGGCAAAAATCGTCCGTGCAAGTGCCTCCATTTCAGTGGCATAAAAGAGGCAAGACTTCTTAGAGATTTTCAATCTGAAATTCGCTTGAATCAGAGATGATTTAAAGGAAGGAGGCATAATAATAATATGAACTGGATCACTTCTACTGACACAATCAACAATTTATTTGTCTTTGTTGGCGGTGGTGATGATGAACCCTATTATTGAAGTCGTTGTGTTCACACTGATGAGCCCTATTATTGAAGTCGTTGTGTTTACACTTATTGCGAAACTTTGTGTGGGTGTGAAATTTCCTATTTTCACAAACAAATTTTTCATTTTCAATTAAGGTTGAACATAATTTTCATAAAACCTAAGTTAAGAAATACTCATTTGTTCCAAAATACAAGTGTTTAAAAATCAAAGTAGAGTAATAATTGTGGAATTTCCAATACTGTTGATAAGTGTGTGCAGTCAGGCCTTCGCCTTCCCACGATCGCCAATGGTAACTGAAAAACATTTAATCCACATCTGTAAGCCAAAGCTTAATGAGTTCCCCTAAAATACCACACACCACAATACACATACAATGCATGCACACACGAGCCTTCAGTTTGACTGGACCGCCTCGTAAGGCCTACAGTACATCTGGACCACTCTCTTGGGCCTCCAGTCTACGATTGGTCCCCCTCCCATGCCTACAGTAGACATTTGGTCCACCTGGCCTACAACAAACCACTGGCCTGCCCAAGTATCTTAGTCTACTGCACAAAGCAAGACCGCCTCAACCCACCACCCGATATGTCAACAAATAAATCAAACAAGCAAACAAACCAGAACATAAACACATGCAACTATCTACACTAGTCTACCTGTATAACAGCTCACTACCGCATACAGAGTATCATATAATACACTACGTTAAAACCAACAGAACTCCAAGAATGCATAACTATATGTAGTCATAGGTAAGATCAACATTCGAACAGGCGACCCCACTTTAGAGCTACAACCAAACAAAGAACAAGCAACAAAGCCTAGATCAAGAGTTCTCATGCGATCCTACGTGACTACATATATCCCCTAGGGCACTCCACTAGACGATTGTCGGTCTACTAGTAGTCTAATTAACATACCACTACTCATATATCCTAACACACAAGGATATATGCTGCGACACATAGTATAATGAAGAAACTCACCTAAATTGAAGACCCAAGGAAATACAACAACACCTACATTCCATGCATTGATCACTCCCGCGAACTGACTGGCACCAAATACAGATAAATCCTTAATCAATTACCCAAGTCCTTTAAGATTGACCCAAAGTCAAACTGGTTAAAATTCAATGGTTAACGGTCAACCAAAGTCAATGGTCAACTGAAGGTTTTGTGTTGATCGGATACACTTCAAGTATAAAGAACAGAAGTAAACTAATCTAAGAAAAACAAAGAACGGAAAGTAAATAACACAGAGAGTCCTCCAAATTGTCTTTCACCAAGAAAGGATTTGTCTTCACCTAGAAGACGGTTTGTCACAAAGACGGTCACCAAGACGAACTCTCTCTACATTAGGGTTTACCCTAATGTAGATTATATGCTAAACTATACAACTATATCCCTTGATTAATGGGATTATATATTATCTATAATAAGAACTGATCCTTATCACAAGGATATCGGATCTGATATATATATATATATATATATATATATATATATATATATATATATATCTTACTATCTTATAAAAGAAATCTTACTATTTCTAAAAATAGATTAAATATAATAATATAATTTTTATTAAGACGTCCAAATGTTTAAGCTTAAGATACAACAATGCACTAATATAATAACATTAAATGTTAAGTTTTCCAAACTTAGAAGCTGAAAGTATAATCAAACAATGCATCCTAAGTTTTTTAACCTCTTGTATCCGGTCCTATCTCTTCCCATGTTCGCTTTGTTATCTCTTCCCCCTATATTAGTTCCCTTCCTTATTGAGTTATTTCTTGATAAATTTTGAATCAATCAACCCACACCTTAAAATCCAATTCAAAATTCAAATAGTCCCCCAAATCCATTAATCTACCGATTAAGCATCCATAATCTCCGTAAACAATTGCTCCTCTTCTACACACGCTATACCTTCTTTCCACATCTCTTCAAATCCAATGTCGTTTTCAAAGCAACTAATTCCAGCCACATCTACACCCTAGATCCTTCTCATCCACAACCATTCATCTCTTTCTTAAAATATCCTCATCGCCTCTCCCCAAAACACACAGCAACCATCCTCCACCACCACCTGTCACATGCGCCAGCAACAACCTTTTCTTTGTTCCATGTTGCCTCCATTTGTTCTAGATCTATTCAAGGTATCAGTATGTTTTGATTTTGTTGTATTTTTGTTTGATTTTTTTTTCAAATCGTTGAGTTTTCTTACATTTTGCAGATCGTTTGATTCATTCATGAATCTGGTGTCTGTTTTTGATCTCCCGACGAAGAATATGGCCAATGAAAGGTTTTGGGTTGCCCTAAACTACAGTCTGCCACTGTGCCCCCTTTTCCCTGCATCTCTCTTCCTCTACTCTTCGGTGTTTGACTCTCTCCTCCATCGGCACTAGCTTCACGATCTGGTAATCTTCAACGACATCTTAGCTCCTCTTTGCGCCTTTTTCTCATTATAGGATCGTAGATGAATCTATATCTTGTAAAAAACAAGTGCTAACTATCACTATCATCAATTTCAAGGTTTTCACCTTGGAACTCTTAAATTTTTGTTCTTCTGATTTTGTGGTTTCATTAGCTTTAGTTGTTGAACTATCCACAGATAGTGAGCAAATCGGTATTTGTAGCTGATACAACAAAAGTAAAATGAAGCAATCAGCATCACCATCTTATGGTTATTCCCAGCTGATCTTCTCTTTCACATGTAAAGCTTGATAAATCAATGCCTTCCTACACCAATCTCCTCTATTACCCACCATCCTAGAAGGGTTTTGGCCACCTGTTCTAGGTAAGAACAAAATGAATTTCGACACACTCTCCAATCTCCTATTATTATTTCCTAACTTTGTTTTGGTTACTCAACATCTCAGATCATATATGTATAACCCTAGACTTGGATAAATAAATATCTCGTCCAAAACAACACACTGTCTCATCACCTTTGTCTGATTCCAAAATTTGCAGATTTTATCCACTACAATTAAAAGATTGTTATTGATGTATAATACTTATTTTGACGCTATATTTGAACAAAAAAAATTCTTAGTATGGATTCTTATTAACATTGTTGACTTGGTTTTGTTTATCTGTGTCATATAGTGTCGGTGTTGGCAAAGAAGCATCAGGAAGAAGCAGGTCCTAGCTTGCATAGCTCTATAATTCTGTGATATTTATAACAATAAAATGGATGGACAGGTCGCATATGTTGTTTCCATTTCTCTTGGGAGTGATAAAGTACATGTTTTTATACAATTTTCATGCTCTTCCTTTCTCTTTAACCATCTTTTATATTCTCCTTTAGATGATGGAAAATCTAATTGAGGGTTTAAGACGATTAGTTTTGGGATGATGGTGTTGTATGTATGTGAGATTCATGAAGGGGGTTTTGAGGCAAGAACCCCACATCTAAATATATATAATGATAGTTTGTTTTTTGTCGATCCTAATTCATATTAACTTATGAATGATGCCAATTCAGTCTTGAATCTCAATCAGGATCAGTCTCCTTTATTTACGTTTTAATAAGCATTTTTAATTCTTTGTTGTTTTTTTAATTTTCATAATAAAATATCATATTTTTGTAGTAATTTATATAACATTATGTTTTGTACTTATAAGAATATTGTGAACTTATGGGATGTGGAAACTTCTCTTCAAGAGGTTAATATACATAAGGTGGAGCCTCCAATAAAAGGGTAAAATGGTAATTTTCTCACATTGAATCAATTCATTCAGTCCATAGTAATACACATAAACTAAAGTGTAAAATGCTAATCTAGTCTCATTCAGTAATCATTGGATGAAATTGTCTTTAAGGTTGCTTTTAATTTTTTATAAATCGTAGAAAAGGAATATGGGTGAAAGATTTGATCTTGAATAACACGACTGAAGAATTTGAGGGTGATGCTACTTACTTATATCTTTACTTATAACTACTTATTTTCCTTTTGCAAGAAATATAGAAGTTAGCCCAGGTAGGAAATGTCTATATGTTTTTTTCTGTTCAATTATGGTTTTTATTAAAACATTTTTTTGTTTAGTTTTACGGAGAATGTTATTTAATACAGTTTCTTTGTTAACAATATCTCACAAACCATGCAGTTTGGTGTATCTATGCAACAAGGATACCTGAGATGAGCTCTCTAGGATTTGATGAAACAGGATCGCACTCACTAACCAAGGTTTTGATGAGCTTAATTGCAATGATGATTAAACAGGATAAAAGTGGGAAGTAGAGTTTGTAATGATAGTTTCTTATGTGTTTTTTTCAACTCATAGAAAACTGGAGCCTGAGAATGTTATTGCGTCTTTTAAGTTGTAATTCATATTCTGACTATTCTATCAAGGACCCTGATGTTACTTCTCCTTAAAAGATCAAAGTGCGTGAAATTAACTAACAAAAGGTTAGTGTTAATAAATAGGATCCTTATTGTTAGATGTATGTATACCCTTTCAAATTTTTATGTGGGTTATATATGCAAATATGTGTATTTGACATCTTTTTTTTAAGAATACCATTTATGGTTACATAATTAATAATTCATTAATAACAAAATTCCATTATATCTCTTTATTACATAAATAAAGAGTATATATAAAATACGTCCAAATATTTTATCTTTTAAGTTTAAACAAGTCTAACCCTTAATGGTAATGGATATGCATGTAAATCGGTTTGGAATTGGACAGGTACCGGAAAAATCAGAAACTAGGAATAGGCAAAAACAAAACTGATTAAAAAATCAACAAAACCGTCATCAACAAACCAAAAACGATGGAAAAACAAATAGTGTGGTTTTCATTTTTGAAAAAACGAAGGTCTGGGGGTTGGTGCGGTTTCTATCAAGAAACTGGTTCATGAAAACCGAATTGTACCGAAGGTGTATAAAATAAAAATCACTAATTTATATTATTTAAAATACTAAAAAATATTAATACATATTATATTTTGACTTTGATGGTAACATTAGCCATTTAATTAGGATTTCAAAACTTTCAAAAGATATCATTGGCCAAACTTATTTTAAACCGCACTATGTTCTCTCCTACAACAAATCAAATAAGCCATAAACCAAGAACCAGACTTAGAATCGAGAATTGGACCGAATACCAAAGACCGGCTCCAATCGAAACCAGAAAACCCGACCGAATACCAATATGTTTTGCCTTAAACCGCATTATGTTCGCCCCCAGGGGAAAACTGGATAAGCCATAAACCGAGAACCGGACTTAGGATCGAGAATCAGACCGAATACCGGTTCTAGCCGAAACCGGAAAACCCGACCGAATACCACTAACCGGTTACAACTAGCTTCGGTTCTTGTTTGATTTGGTTTTACGTCCAAATATTTTATCTTTTAAGTTTATAACAAGACTAAATGATAATGAGTATTTTTCGATGTATTACATATATTTGGTAAATGATATGTTTTTATATACAAACTAAATGTTGAAAAGAAGTTATCTACCACCAGCCGAAAGGAAATACAACAAAATAAAATTATTTTGTATACTCTTAATTTTTTTTAAAAGAGTAAAAGATATTATTTTAACTTAAAAAACATATTTTTATATTTAACATAAAATAGCAACATATTTTCATATTTAATTCAAAATAGCAACATATTTTTAACTGTAACCCAAAATAAAACATTTTTATTTTAACTCATAATTAAAACATATTTTTCTTTTGAATGACATGAGAATGTTTATTTTTTATTGTAAACACAATTATTATTTTTTTAAAATTTTAAAATCATCAAATATTTGGTCAAAATGAAGTTTTTAAACTAAAAATAAAATAAAACTAAACAAAAATAAAATATAAAAAAATTTGAGTTTTTATAATATTAAAACTAAATTAGATGTATTAACGAACGCAAGCGGCAAAACCCTAACTCAAACCTTAAAGCCCAATCCCTAAACGCAACCATAACCCTGATAACTAAGTGATAGAGGAGGCATGTCAAATCACACTCCAAAGAGGAGTAACCCAGGTTCAGATCTCGAAATGGTTTCAACTGATGGTCATAATGTATTGCCAGGTGTACAAGGGACCAAAGGCTTTCCTTCCAGGTCATCAATGATGCTCAAGTGAGGTCAACTCTTAATTAAAAAGACCTTAACGCTAAGTCGTAAATCCAAACCATTAACCCGAAACCATAAGGCCCCAACTTATGCACACTAAAAATTTATTTCCCTCTATATTGCGATGGTTACAACTATTTTTTCCACATAACCGAACGAGAATAATACGTATATACCTTGTGTTCATTGAGATATATCATGTTTTAGAATGAAACTAATTGCCGAAAGAACCTATTCGTCACTATCGCTTGCGCGGGTACACTACTAGTATATATATATATATATATATATATATATATATATTGTTGGATTAGGTGTCTAAGCACATAACTATAATTGGTATGTAATTGAATTGATATTAGCAATGTCCTTTTGGGTTACCTTCAAACCTGGCAATTGAATAAGATAATTGTTAGAGAGAGAAGAATGATTTATTAATTTATTACTTGGTTAATATCTAAGTGGTTGGAAATGACAAATTAACATGGATAGGAACACATACACCATAAAATCTAAGTGGTGAGAGGTTTCTCTCTACTTCATGCAAATCATCGTGAGGAAACACTTTCACTAGTAGATTTAAAGGATTGATTAAATTAGAGTTAGCAGTTGTGATAACTTCGTTCTCAAATTCGAGTATGATTACGGCATCCCTTTTCATAGTTCGAATTGTGAGAAATGGCAAATAGTTTGAACATTCGGGACTTATTGCCATAAGTTCTCAAAGGGTTTAGACACACACATAAGTTGTCTAATGAAAGGTGTATGAGCTTGAGAATTCTAGATAAAGACTTATCGAAGCATCACTTATAAGATATCTAAACTTTGGTAGGAAAGTCAATAGGTATTGATTCTAGAAATCCAGTTGATTTCTAGATACATGTCAAAGCTAGTGGGAGCATAATTGTTATGTTGGTAAGGACATAATTGTCATGCTAGTGGGAGCGTGATTATTATGTTAAGTGTTGCAAGTTAGTAATGCTATTTATAGGAAACAAAGGTCTAAATTTGCAAAGTTGCAGAATTTGGGAATTGTTTCGCTATAGTAAAGCTTAAGGGAGAGGGCATTAATACTTCATTTCAAATCGAAAAGTTTAGATTGAAATTTTAATCAAACATAGTCATGGACATATATGAATATCATGTTGAAATGATTCAACATAGGAAATTCAATATATGGAAATATTGTAGCAAGAGACTGATCAAGTATCATGTCTTTATGTAAGACAGTATGTATCGGATCCCATATGCTTCGGATATAGGATCGATTGCATATTCAATAATACTCACTCGTTCTGATTTTCCAAATGCCTATGGCATTAAGAGAGAAAAAGACTGGAACCAGATATGACTAAAGTTGTTAAACAACTGTTAAGGACAATCTGAGGTTTACCAAAGATTGGTTGCTTGATAACAGTTGGAAGAATAGTATAAATTTGGAAGGACCATATTGACATGTTCTAAGTGGAGATAACTCTTGTTCAGAATTGATAGTCATATGACAATATGGAAATGTTTCCATAATGGGAGTTGGATAATGAGATATATATGTGAGTTAGTAACTTTAATGCAAGAAGGATGTGCAAGGAATGCTCCTTGAATGTGAGACTTCATTTCCTTGGAATTGTTTTGTAATCAATTTCCAATGGAATGCTTTGTAATATCATTGGTAAAGTCTCTGTGACTTTGGTGCTTTGACATTACAAAAGGATCATTGCGTGTAAGATTAGACTCTAACAGATTCTAGTAGTGGTAAGAATTTGGTAGTCGTACACTTGTGATAAGGATTTGGAATTGTGAAATGAGCATCATTGGAAATGTGTTCAATTGATCTGTGTCACAAAGAAAATACCATAGATAAACATAGTGTGGGTGCTTGGAGCATGGCATGACTGTTGTTTTAATTCAAGTATTAAGTTGATTACTCAAAACATTATACAATGAATAAAGTTTAATTAATATGGTGATTAAATAATAAGTGTTTTATTTATATTCAAAATCTTTGAGACCATAGTTAATTAGATTATTCTTGTGTTTCACTTCGCATGTTTTACTTCCCGAATAACTAGGTTATTCAAACGTCCACAGTCGATCATACTTTTAGAAGTAAGAAGTGAATTAAGACTATCATGAATCTGGTTGTAGATTTTCTAAGAGCTTAGACATGGCACAAGTTTGTTGCAGTGTTCATGAGTACTCCTAAAATAGGAATTTGAGTATTGGATAAACCCACGCTCAGAGAATTACTTCATGGATTTAATCACGAGTAATTTCTGAGATGATAATATCTTATATTCTTGAAATGGATACATATAAGTTGTTGTTTACGAGTCGGTTGTGCATTGATAATACGTAAACGCATCAGTAACTTGATGTTATTAAACGTATTGTTGTCTATGATTTTATGAGTGAATTGTACAAGCATATGAGTCGAAGTTTATCCGTTCCTTTTACCCTAAATGGGATAAAATCAATTATTTTGGGCCCCTCGATGATTTAGTGATGACATCTTAAGCGCGTGTCCAAGCTTGGACTAAGTTGATGTGTTCAATTGTAGTCTGAGTCAGTCGTCATGAATCGGAAATCAGGAAAAAACTCTTGGACAGAGATTGATTATAATCCATTTTTCATGTCCATATGATATCTTGTAGAACGGAGGAATATTTGATCACTTATCTAAGGACAAGTCACTGACTAGGTCAGAATTCGATAGCGGCTTTTGGTATCTAAAATTTGCTAATCAATTTTTGAAGTTATACTTGCAACTATAGTTATTAGACTTATCCAAGTGGGAGACTATTGGATTAAGTGTCTAAGCCCATAACTATAATTGGTATGTACTTGAATTGATAGTAGCAATGTCCTTTTGGGTTGCCTTTAAACCAGGCAATTAAATAGGATAATTGTTAGAGAAAGAAGAATGATTTATTAATTTATTACTTGGTTAATAAATTAATTTGAAATCAATATAAATGAATTATTAATGTATTATGGACATAATATATTAATTAGAAATCATATTGTTTAATTAATATTTAATCAGAAATTAATTTGGAATTAATTTTGGGATTAAAGGAATTAATTGAAACTACAAGGGACTAAAGATGACAATGTTCAATAGTTAAGCATTGAGCATTCTAGAACCTCCCTAAAGGGGGGGAACGAATTCTAGGGTGTTCCTAGGGTTTCCTTGGGTTCTAAGGGTG